TCACGCGATAGTTTGTATTAAAACGAAATTTCAGTCAAAATTGGAACAACGGACTCTTAACGTCTGCTTTCTGGAAGAACGCGTGGGAAAATACAGGGATCCAGATCTGCTCGGCTTTTTTCTCGGTTGTTTGAGGTCGGACGAAGTCTAGGACTCCGAGTACAACCAGGGAATCAATTCCAAGCAATTTCAATTGCGTCATGTCGAAACCCCCATCCCCCCCCTCCGGTGAGCGCCCTTAGGGGGTAAAGGGGGGTGAAATTATTTAAGTCTTCCATCTCTTCATCCCTCAGGTGCGGGCTCTGGTCCTTAGTACTGGTCTTGCGACACCCATCAGGGATTTATTCTCTGCGGAGTGGATATAATTTTTAATAAATTGATATTGCTCTTCCTAGGTATCAGACTATACAACTCCTGTAGCTTCTTGTCCAAGCATTCCACGTAAAGAGCCTTGAAATTAGGGTCCTCCTCAGAGGCGAATCCAGACACTTCAAACGGGGGGGGGGGGGTGGAAAGGGGGATGTCTGTTGGGTATAGAATACCTCTCGGGTCAAAGAGGAGTCCAGGGGGCTTCCTAAAGAAAATTTTCGGAACTTTAAAGCATTTAATAAGTAGTTTAAGTAAATTTTATCATGGATAGTTATCAAATTTAAGCGTTCTTCCTCCTTCTTTCCTCCGTTTCTTACCTCTTTTACTCTTCCCTTTAATCTCTTCTTTTATGAGCAAACCGGGGNGGGGGGGGGGGGGGGGCGTGCTCCTTTTACCTCTCCCCCCGGATCCGTCTATGGTGCTCCAAACCTTCATGTTATACCTTACCTCGTGTTCAAGCACCCCCGTCACAGCCACTGTTGCTGCATCGTTTTTTTCCCCTTACTTTAGCAGTAACTTGAACTTACTTACCTCAATAAAATCCTCCTTTTCGGGGGAGAGGAGGTCTGGGACTGCCCCCCCCCTTCAGAGAATTTAATTACGACTCAAAGGGATCTGATTTTATGACCAGTTTCTCGAGCTCAAATGTTCCGGGCTGCCTATGGTAGAGATATGTGGCAACCCGATGCGGTGGTTGAACCGAGAAAATGTTGGCGATTTTCCAACCAAACGGCCGCGATCAGCGATGAGGAGGATGTTTTCCTGCCCTGCACGAAAACATGGGCAATTTATCAAGCCCGATTTAATCTCGCGGTAACAAAACGCATTAAAATCAGTCTGTGTGCGAATACTAATCACATCGTGTCTAGTCATGTACTTACACCCCTCCGTCTCCAACCTCCAGCCAAGTCCCACTCCTCGCTGCCCATTCCGCCAACCTTAATAGCTATCAATCTATCATACTTTGATCGATATTCGCTACCTCCATGGGAACAGGGACTGTCATAACTCAAAATTTAAAACGGAATCTGAGTTATATTCTATCAACAATAATTGTGCAAACTGTGTGCTATGGCACTATATTTGAGGAAAGGGCTAGGCTGGATAATCCTTCCTCTTTCTGCGTTCTGGGCTCAAGGTGGGCAGAGCCGCTTGACTGATTCATTTTACGGGGTGTTTCAGACCACCAATACCAGGTTTTTTCGTGGTTATTTTTGTTCGGACGATGTCCAGGATTGCGGGGGCGATTGGGTAATAACGACTCCAAGGAACCTGAATCTCAAAATCTCTGAGCCCTTTCTTCTCAGTTTCCCTAGAGAATTTAAAGAGGGAGCCGGGGGACCTGACTTTGAGAATGGGGGTTTCCGTCACATTTTTTTTGCTTCCTACACGAAGGAACGTAACTTTATTCCAAGGTTGTAGAGTTGACTTAAATCATTTAATTTTTTTTCTAGGATAAGATTGTGCGATTTCTGTTCAAAATTTCAAAAAATTTTCCGCGTGATCAGAAGAAAAATGTGTGAGATTTGTAAGTAGTTAAAATATCCAACTGAATTCCTGCCAAAATAAAGTTTGCTAGTGGAAGTTTTCAACGTTTGAAATGTAGTTACGTTCTTTCGTTCGGAAAACGAGGAATTTTTAAATCATTTGATCAAAAGGTGGACAATTTTTCTCCAATTTAGTACGGAAAATTCCAAAATGGACCACCAGACAAGGTACGAATTTCAGCATTCTGATACATGTGTCTCAACCAAAATTTCACGTAGAACACGATACGCACAACGAAAATTACCAAAATCAACTCCTGACGAAGATATTTAATGATTCTTGATGCGTGAATTCAAACCACCCGCTCATGAAAACTCAATGCTCTACGTGATTCACATCGCGCGCTAAATGTTTATCATGACAGTCTCTGCGATGTAAAAATCTTCAACTTCAATCTTGACACTTTGGCTCAGCTATAGCAAATTACCAATAGTTTGAACAACACACGGTGGAAAATGAACATTGCTCGATTGAGAACCTTGCTGAAACCGTTGTAGTGCGCGATTTGACTCAGGTAGAGCTTTGAGTTTCTTGTGAGCGGGCAGTTCAAATTCCTCGTAATCAGTGCGAAATGAAAACGTTAATATCTTCGTTAGAAGTTGATTTCGGTAATTTTCGTAGTGTGAATCGTGTTCTACGTGAAATTCTGGTTAAAAAACATGTATCAGATTGCTTAAATTCGTACCTTGTCTAGTGGTCCATTGGCCATACCTTGCACATAATATCGATCCTGAAAGTTTGGGGGGCAACGCTCCTCCCCTAAAGTGACTCCGAGGCCTGGAGAAAGGGTGATTTCATGAGTAATCAATTCCAAGGAATCCAATTTTGACGGAACGCAAGCCCTCGGGGGCTCTTTCAAGGGGCTATGGACAAATCCTAGACTTGTCAAATTCATAGGTTCAAGACCTCCTTCTACCCCATCAGCGATGCCCCGGGGGCAACTTCCGGGATTATCCTCAAATTGTGGTACCACGCATCTGAATTATTTCAAGTCCGAAAGCGCTTTTTTGCAGTTTATCTTTACCACACATTCATGGGAGAAATTAACAGTCCATCATATTTCCTGCTGTAAAAATGAATAACCGCGTATTTGCTGTCAAAGATCAACAACTAAAACACCTGTAGTCATGCCCTACAAAGATTTTCCCCACAGCGCGATTTTTACGTCCATGCTCATTCAAAAAGTTAAGAAACCTTTACTTGGAAAAATGAGCATGCATGTAAGAGTTTTATTGTGGGGAAGATCTCTTCAAGTAATTTCTACAGGTGATTTAATTTTCGATCTCCCTCACACATGTGTGGGATGAATAGACAAGGGATATGCGATTTTTCATTTTCCGGCAAAACATCCTGTGAGCTGTTGATCCCTTAGACAAAATAATGTATAGTGTAGATCAACAGCAATAAAGCGTTTCCGGACTTTAAAAAAGATGCCAAGAAAAGCCCTCTAAAATCCCTTTTCTCATGAATGGCAATAGGTAAAAATTTGTTCTAAAATGTTTCGGAGAGGTTTAATACATAAAGTCTCCCTCTCAAATAAGTTGAGCCCCTCGTGTTGAATGCCGCCTTATTGTACTCAAGCTATCGATGAGTTCATCACCCTCATCAGTATGGGGCATCCGTCCAATATCGTGCACATTTTTCCGTGAATGGAACATGACTGAGTTTTTAACATGTATTGATATGATCACACAGTACTGTGCAGTGCATGCGAATATGATCCGTCTCTGCTCCCAGCTCTATGACTCACTTCACTCGTCTCAAAAACCTGAAATAGCCTCGGTACCTTCCACTCGCTCCTTTATGATTTTACTCGCACGTTTAAGTTGTGTTGCCTTCTTAAGGGAGAAATAAAAAAAGTACCTATCAAATTGTATTTCTACCATAGTTCAGTAAAGAATGAATAAGGGCCATTATGTCATTTGTTCCTCACATGGTCCGTGCGGGCCTTGTCGGTGTCAATGGTAACATTTTATGTAAAACAGAATCGAAGAATATGGTATTAAATGGTTTAATCCTACTGTTTGACAGCCAGAGGTGTCAATCTTATACTATCGCACCAATGGGTCAGTTGCACTGGTTACAGAATCGTATTTTGATGATTGATTCTTGTCGATCACCCAAAAATTCTAAGATCTGTCCAAACATCAACTTTCTACGTTTAATATTAACAGAGATTGAAAAATTTGTTCTATGACGTCATCCTCCGCGGTAGTGACACCCTAGGTTTCTTCCACCTTGCTTTCATCAGTTAGTGAGTCACACGTTTGCATGCAGTGGTTACTCGACGTGAAACTCGGATGAAAGCAAGGTGGAAGAAACCGAGGGTGTCACCACCGCGATGAATAAAGTCATAAAAAGAATTTTTCAAAGCGCGATATCTCGGTTAATATTGAACGTGAAAAGTTGATGTTGGGACACAATCTCAGTATTTTCAAGTGATCTGCAAGAGTCAAGTATCAAAACACGATTCTGCGACTAGCGCAATTGACCCGTACTTTTAAAAAAATGTTCGTCTTCGTTGTGAACGGTTCTGCTCGCTGGCTTTTAAGGCTTTCTGCATGACTTGCCATCTCAGTGCTATACAGATCGCGTTGTTTTAAAATGTTTTAAACCGTCTAGAAATTGTAAACATTTTTGTTACTTCTAATTTATGACCCCAAACGTTCAAAGTCTCCCTGATTGTACACTCTTTCAAGGTGAAATTATTTTTTTTTTTAACAGAATTTTGGAGGTTTCACTTGAACAGGTTAAGTTGTGACCCCTGGCAATGAGTTTGGCCTGTAAAAGCAGATGGAATCACACTGTATACTGCATATGTAGCTATTGTTAGTCATGGTAGCCTTCTGAATAAAAATGATTTTTGAGGCCTCGTAGCAGAATCATGAATACCGACTTGTTCCAAAGTCTGCCAGTAAAATTTCTGAAGGGCGAGCAACACTGCGGCTCAATCAATCAGTGCCATTTTAACGAGTAACTTAATCCGAAAGAAATATTTATCGGTCAGGCGAGGTAAGAGCCATTTCTGTGGAATAACATGTTCACCACCAGCTGTGCACTTCTGAAATTATGAAGACGCCAAAATTTCTCCGATCAGACTTTATTCTCCGCACACTTAAAATTGCAAAACACTGAAGGATAGAAAAAAACAGATAACAATAATAAAATTCTGATCTAGCTTTTAAAGGGTATAATATAGAAACCAACACTTGCCACGTTCCACTTTATAACATTCCTGAATCAAAATATATGGCACACTATCGATGTATCGTGGGGAACACATCTGCATCATTTAGGTCAGGGCAGTTTGTACGTTGAATCAACGAGCTTGCTCTGTCTTTCTTAATTAATACGTTTTTGAAAAGCAGAGAGTGCATATTTTTAGTTCCCATTTCAACGTGCAGCACCAAGAAAAGCCAATATCGCGTCCGAAAATGGCCTCCTAGTCGTGGATACCGTTACCACTGCACGGACTTTTTGCCGCGATCCATGGTTTTGCAGTCGTGCACGGCTACATTAACCATAGATGCCCGAAATTCGATCAATAAAACTCCAAAGGAGTTCAGTTGATTGGTTGTGACTCCTTAGTTGGAAAATACGAGTTTATCACCGGCGCTGGCGCTGCTCGAAACGGAGATCCCGGACGTTTTGACGCCGTTCTTCGTTTCGTCCGTGCTGACGACGGACGTCCGGACGTCGAGTGACCCCGTCGGTTTGGTCACCTCTCCCTCGGGCGTGATCTTCGAGCCGATAGGTTTCGTGACGTGCACCGCGTAACCGGACTCGCTCTTCTCGGTGCTGCTGGCCGCTTGTTCGGGGGTCTGGCCCCTAACGTACTCGTAAGTACCCTGCTCGTGGGTGGGATGAGGGTGCTCCTTGGAGATCTCCGTAACCGGGATCACGACCCCACTCTGACTGCTGCTCGAGCTGGAGCTGGTGGCGTGCGAGTGGACCTTGCTCGGCTCGTGGACGGGTGTGTCAACCGGCTTGTGCTTGTATTCGTGGTCGTACGGGTTCGGCCGCTCTTCAGGTCGATAACCTGAGTATCCTGATCCTGACTCAGGTTTGTATTCTGGTTGGTGGTGCTCCGGTTTGTATTCTGGTTGGTGGTGCTCTGGTTTATGTTCGGGTTTGTATTCCGGCTGATAGTGCTCCGACGTGTACTCAGGTTTGTGCTCCGGGTAGTGTCCGTACTCGGGTTTCTGCTCGGGTTTGTACTGGGGCTGGTAACCGGGGTTATAAGAGTCGGGCTTGTATTCAGGTTTTTGCTCGGGTTTGTATTGCGGCTGGTAACCTGGATTATACGAGTCGGGCTTATGCTCGGGTCTGTATTGTGGCAGGTATCCGGGGTTCTGAGAGTCAGGCTTGTACTCAGGTTTGTACGCCGACTCGTGTCCTTGACCGTAGGGTTTCTCTTGAGGCTGGTAGCCTGAGTTGTGGTACTCAGGTTTCGATTCCTGGTAGCCGGAGGGTCGGCTAGGGTACTTGTAGGGCTTTTCCTTGTGTCGGTGGGGATCAGCGTATGGCTCCTGGTTGACTGCGGAGCTTTGGCTGTTAGCGGAGGAGCCGGACGTGGAGGCAGGACCTCCGTGTCCGGTCGCGCTGGAGCTGCTGGCGCTGGAACTGGAGGATCCCTGGGGATAGAGATGGTGGGGGTCCGAATGATGTGGGTGAAGGTGGTCTGTGTGATGGGGATGGACGAGGGATCCTGAGTGAGAGCCGGCCTGGGAACCGGAAGAGGCACCTGAGGAACCGGAAGAGGCTCCCGAGGAACCGGAAGCGGCGGAGGAAGATGCACCAGTGTCGCTTAGTCCGTTTACGTTGCCCGAGGAGGAGCTAGCTGACGACTGGGAGACGGAGAACTTGAAGGGTCCGAAACTACCTTCAAACGTGCCGCTCTGAGCGTTGGCGGTCGACTCGCTTTTGGTTGAACTTGGGCCCTTCGCCTGGCCCAGAGTGTCGCCTAGGACTGCGAATGGATTTTGAATCAGCTTCGACGGGTCCGCTGTAACAGAACACCAAGAACAAGTTAGGCGCACTGTCTATTCAGCAAATTAAAATTTACGAATTATATATTACTGGGTTAGTGTGGTATGGATATGCACTGAAAAAAAAGAAAAAAAGGAGGAGTTTAGCAAAGTGCTTTATACAACAACAAAGAGCCCTGTAGGAGCTACTTTCATTTATGTATGCAGACAACAGGGCGGTCTGACTCCTGTAAAATTTGAAAACTGATCGCTCGATGACAAGGAACATTATTATGGTAAATGCAGACTTCTGGAAAAATTAATAGTCGTTCTTTTTACGATTTATTGACACAACAGGTAGGAGGCCTTCCATCAATCTTGTCAAGGTCCCATGAGGGGCAGGAAAGGATCAAGGAGTGTCTGACGTGTACCTGAAGATGGAAGATCGGAGAGAAGCCGAAACTGACGTCAACGGCTCGAACCGATCATCATTAATAAATTTGCCACCAAAAACGGCGGACATGATGGCATCCAATACGTACGCTTTTGACCTTTTCGTGAAAAAAATCAAAACTTTTATTAAAGAACTCCAATGTCATTTCCAAGGGGGAACAAAGCTAACCGAAATCCAACCAATCAAAAACCCACAATATAGAGTTGACGCAGCGAAACGATACCTTAAGCTGATTTCAGCCAATGGGCAAACACCATTGCCCCATCCTGTCCACGTCATTAGAGTCCGCCAAAAATATCGTTTCAAATGGATTTCATTTTCGGCATTTTCAAAATGGAGATTCTTTGCCGTTTCGGGTTCAAACAATTTTAAGAAAATCTTATGGAAGCTTAGTTTACACCGCGCTTGTAGATAACGAATTAAAAGGGTGAAGGGGGGGCTGGTTACTGGCCCACTCCAGCGTCGTTTATTGACCTTTTAGTAAAGAACTGCTGATTTTAATTGCGACCTTGTCAATTTTTCGGAAAATGCATGGATTGTTTTTGTTTATTTTAATTCATTAAAACGTTATCGGACCTTGACAAAAATAATGTATTTGTTTCTTAAGTTTTCCCTCATCAAGGTTTTCGCGCTTCTGGCGCGAGTCTCGGCGGATGGTAAATACCCAAAAGTGAGTAATGCAAGCCCAAAAGTGCAAAGAGCATTGTTCTTTGAAAATTTTCGTCGCATATGAGCCTCAGAAGTTATTTTCCAAAAGATAAGAGAAAAAATCAAAACAAAGGGCGACTCGCTAAAGTTAGGTCAAAGGGAATTTAAAAAATCACCCTCAGATCTTCAGATTTTTTGCAATTTTGAGGATTGGCAACCTCCTAATTATTTAAAAAATCAATGCATTTCCAAAAAAAAAAAAAAATGTACTCTTTTCCGATAAAAATCAGTGTTTACTTCATCTGCCTAATTGGCAACGCTGGAATTAAGTTAAGGTGTAAGAAATAAATCGTGTATTTCCTTCGGAGAATACACTGCGGATAGCCGGCACCATCAAACAGAGTTGCATGCAGCGAACACTGAACGAATTTCACTATAACGCTTGGATACGACTATTCAAACTCTGTGGATGTCCGTGTTGCATACACACGCAATTGAAGGCGTTTTAACGCTCCAAGCACTCACCGCTCCAACCGTGGCGAGGTGCGGCGACGAGATTTTTATCAATGAGAGAGGTCGGACATGATGTGCACAAATTGTATATCTTTGTCAATACAAAATAAAGAAGTCCATGGGTAGCATCATTGGTTTTCCGTAAAATTCCATTTCAAAAACACCTTTTTAAATGTATAATGTGACGAATGAAACAACAATTTGCAGTTTAAGTCTTTACATATCTTCATGTTCGATCTCTCCTCATGGGCTTGTTCATCTGTGCAGCGTTTGCAAACAGTATTGCGAGGGTCCTTCAACTCTTTGTTCATGCTACAAAGCCATCTCTTCGGCACGGACAGTTACTCTACAAAGCATTCTAAGCACATCGCGACATCAAAACTAAAACATTGAAAATACTCACATCCCACACCTTCTAGCAATGATTCGTGTCTAAGAAATGTGTTTGCAGTATAAAGAACAGATTGAAGGTCATCTATAATTGTTGATCCTCGTAGTACAGTCTACGGCTGCCACCGCAACGCTGTTGAAGCGGTGAGCGGCGAGTGCTCGGAGCGTCAAAACGCCTTCACTTTCGCACGCATGCAACACGGACATCAATGAAGCCCGAATAGTTGCATCCAGGCGTTATAATAAAATTCGTTATGTATCCGTCGCATGCGACATTATCTGAGGGCGCTCTGCTTGTTCCTCAGATTTGTGCGACTCTTCTGCCGTGATTTAAGATGTATATGCAGTCCTGTATTGATCAACGACTGCTCAGCCAGTGGGACGCACCCTTACTACCTCTACTATTAGTAGGTGCTCAGAAGGCTCCCTAAAAGTTAAAAAATGGCATAATTCAAGTTTTCATTGCTTCAAAGTAAGCTGTTTAGGTGTCACTAGGCTAAACGACGGTGACCTTAGCAAAAATTAGAGGTATACCCTTAATCTGTGAGGTATTTGCTAAGTTTATCCAAGTTAATGGAATTTACGTGCGAATTCCTTATCCTTATATGTATAGCTAAATAACCGCTAAAATCCTCGAAAAAGAAGAAGAGAATCGAAAAATCTTAGTCTTTTGGTTCTGTGCGAGACAGATAAATATTTTTTCAAAATTCTTCTGGATACGTTATTCCTTTCATCCCATATCATAGTTCATGGCCGTTACATTCGGTTGGTCGATTAAAAGAAATAATACTAAATAACATTTTGTTGGTCTATTTAAAAAAAATAATAAATAAGAAAAACAAGGAAAATACTATCTCGCATGCGAATCGGTCATGATCTTATTCCAGCTCATCGCAACAGAATAAAGAGCGACGCCAAAAACGACCGTTTTTTGGCACAATTTGGGCCAGAAGGGATTTTTCTGAAACCGGGCCCAAACGATACCTTATGATACCCTAAAACTCTGGTTAAAATTTTAGCTTGAGTATACGCTCGGTTTTTGAGAAATGAGGGGGCAAAGTTGCCAAATCGCCATCATTCTGGACAGCATTTCTACAGCAAAAAGACGGGGAAAATGGACGAAAAAGTCAAATATTTGATGGGTTTCGGCTGTAAATGTTCTCATTGGGCCCCCAAGCATTTAACTTTGTTCAGTTTCAAAAATTTTGGTCGCACAGTGGTCCAAAATGGGGAGAAATCGTCGACAAATCAGGATTCTTTGTCAAATTTTTAGAAATGGAAGTAAAATTTTCGGTCTGCTGCAGTTTTCATGGCTAACAATGTTCTTATTGGTCCTCAATTTATGAAAATGTGTTCAGCTTCACAAATGTACATCGCACAGTGGTCAAAAATGGGGGAATTAGTGGACAAATTAAGATCCTCTGTCAAACTGTTGGTCCCCAGTAGAGTTTAAATCCCGGAAAAATGCATGTTTTTATTTTTTTTTAATTATTTATATATGTCAGACCGTATTGTTTATAGAACGTTGTTATAGAATAGACTTTGTAGCATTATTTCAATAAAATATGCAAACTTTCAGAAATTTAAAAAAAAAGAAAGAAAAGTGGAGAGAAAAAACGTAAAAAAGATTTAAATAGTCAAAAAAAGAATTTAAAGAATTTTTCTGGGATCTAAAGTCTACTGGAAACTAATAGTCGTACATCATTTTTAAAAAGTTAGGCAGAAGATCTTAATTTGTCCACTAATTTCCCATTTTGGACCATTGTGCGATGAAAATTTGATAAACTGAACCCAATTGAATGCATTGAAGACCGATAGAAACATTGTTCCCCATGATCTCTGCAGGAGACCAACAATTTTACTTCCATTTTTAAAAAGTTTGACAAAGAATCCTTATCTGTCCACGATTTCTTCCCATTTTAGACCACTGTACGTCCAACATTTTTGAAACTGAAGACAATCACATGCACGGGGGCTCAATAAGAACATTTACAGCCCAAACCCATCAATGGTGTAACTTTTTCGTCCATTTTCCCCGTCTTTTTGCTGTAAAAATGCTGTCCAGAATGATGGCGATTTGGCAACTTTGCCCCTCCATTTCTCAAAAACGGTGCGTATACTCAAGCTAAAATTTTTACCAGAGTTTTAGGGTATCATAAGGTATCGTTTGGGCCCGGTTTCAGAAAAATCCCTTCTGGCCCAAATTGTGCCATTCTTGGCGTCGCTCTTTGAAAGCTGATGACTTGGATGTTTGCGGAGAGCAGGGAATGCTGGGCCTTGTCATCCTCGGTTGCCAATTTGCCGTTTATCTTCGGGGGTACTTCAAGACCCCCCTCCCTCCCATCCTTCATAGGGCGCCGAAAGCAATCTTGCGTCAGTTTAAAAAAGTAAAAATTCATAAATCCGGGACTGGGTATTCCAATTTGACGTTGTTTGTGGGTTGTAGATTAATGATCAAATAAGGCATTTTGTCAATTGCGTATAGTCAATAATCCTAACTTTGACATTCTGAAATTTTTCCTAGTTTTCAAGCAAAAAAATCTGCAATTAGGTAGGCAAGCAAGAGCATTTTGTGAAATTTCTGATGAATGCATGCTTTTTTTCAGAGTTTTAAGCACTGAGTATGCTTTTGTCTCAAAATGTCTTTATACTTCGTAACATATAGATCTTTTAAATAAAGGTTTGACACTACAAAAATTGAGCAATTTGACATCGTTAAGTTGAAAACAACTTATGTTTTCATTATTTTTTCTTTTTCGTGTGGTGAAACACTCAGAAATCTTAACTAAAAACGTGCAAAACTTGGAGGGTATTCAAAATTTGACTATTTGCAAAGGCATTTGAAAAAGTGCCTGATTTTTTTTCTGCTTTTAAATTAGTCAATGTTCCGTTAGGAATTTGGAGCCATCAGAGGATGTAGAGGACTAGGGGTACAACACCCCTTGGTCGTAACGCGGACCAAACCCTCGAGGACACTAAGAGCCCTCCAAGACCCGCTTCGTGGGTTCTCGTGAATTACTGTAATTGGAGTGGACTTATTTAGAGACCTTTTTGTTTCAATGGCAGCAAAAATAATGAAAATCGACCCGGTGTATTTTTAGAATAATTGGCCACAAAAACTCGACATTTTCTTTGTTTGAATGGATGAATCCACAACTTCATCACGTAATATTAAAAAAACCTGGGTCATTTGCCCAAAATTTAGATGGAGAAGGCTCATTTAGGAGGAAAAAACCTTGTCGGCAGCCGTAAATCTCATGAAAAATGGCCCAGTAGAAGGATAGAAGGAACTTTGACAAAAAAATTATTATTATGGGGGTCAGAATGCTTATAATACTGATGGTATTGATAGTGGATGTGATCAGAGGGTATAGACACATGCATACTCCAGGTTTTTCAAATTGTCTAGAATTCGGGTTGAGAGGAATTTGTTTGAGGAATTTCACTTGTAAATTTCATGAAAATTCGTTGCCTGATTCCACCATTAGCCTACGACTTCAGCACAAGGGGCGGGGATGTGACCAAAGTAGGGTGCTTGGAACTTACCAGAAAATTCATGGTGGTGTTTGCTGAGGTGGTGATGAGGGATGGATTCACAAACGGCTATCACTAACGGCAGGAAAAAGAGGGTTCGCGGGTATCCGGCCATCTCTGAGCCTTCGAAAAATGCAACTAAACTGGATTCTCGCTGATCCAGGGAGTTGAAGCTCAATTTTATTCACCGACTCGTTTCTGCCGGTCGCGCTGGGTTTCCCAGCCATCGGCAAGCTCTGACCGACCCGACACGGCGAGAAAAAACCTCTGCCCATGGGTTCTCAAACCGAGCGGATTTACCGACTTGTAGGATGTGGGTTTTTTTATACCGGGGAATCCTGCGGCGCTGAGGAAGAACGCAGTATGAACATTCGAGAGTTGCCGAATTTCCCTCAATAAAATGCTCATTTTTGAGGAAAGTTATGAATATTATTCCTTGCCATTTTCAGGGACTTAAGGTGAAATTCCGAACAAAATTATCTAAAAAATTTGAAGGAAAATATTCTAAAGTTTACCGGGAAATTCTTGTTTTATCAGAAGAAATTTGGCAACGCCTGGAGGTTTATACGGCGTTTTCCCTTAGCACGGCAGAATTATGGAACGTCGGAGATGTTAAATCATTAATTAGTCCAAGCAGACTCCTGAAGTGGGCGTGCACTAATTAGTACAATAACAAGGCGCAAACTAAGTAATATACAAAACACGCATTTGGGTTTTTTGCGCAGGAAGAGTCTTGTGCAGAAACCGCGGGAGTCAAATATTGTTGCGCCAAAGAGCATGGGTACTCGTACGGAGCGCATGGTACATCAGACATTGACCGATTATGTTCTTACGTTGGCTGGATCAATTGCGAGTTGTGGCTACTTGGGATGACGGTGCAATGAACCAACTCAATGACGTTGTAGAGATGGAAAATGTTGGAATCCGCTCAGGGAAAAATGTATAAATTATAGTTTTTATGGAATTCTCAATTCACCGGATTTATAAAGGGACATTTTGTTTATTCAGCATTGACGATTTAGCTAATGACATTGTATCATACGAATGATTGATGGTTGAATGTAATAGTTGAGGGCCCTGCATGCCGTAGCCAAGGAGTCAAAAGACATAGGTATGATAATATTTGAAAATGAAAAACTGGAAAAATTCATGTTTGAATTGAAATAAGTACCTACTTACTTCACCAAATGTTCCCATTCGTACATTGAGGTGCCTTCTACAAACAGGCATTATCGCTTTTTCAAAAAATTATTCGCGCCAAACTTCTGAATGATCAGGTACATATCTGCATGGGATAGGTGCCTTAATAACACGCTTGCAAAAGGAGTCTCACAGACGTTGAAAGAAACTTGTAACTTTTCTGGTTTGTAAGAAACCTCTTGTCATCTTAAACTTGTTAGAGGAATTATTCAGCGTGATTGATGCTTTTTAGTTCGATTCTTTTTCTCTCCTCTTAAAAAAACTGCTCCCCAAACATCAAATTCCTCTCCAAAACTCCTATAGTATTCATGTTCCCCTTGAATGAATGAAACATGAGGTATATAAAACTCTGGAACACAGTGTAACAAAATAATACATTTTCTTGTAGTCTCACATAATTTCCCAGCATCTGCTTTCAATAGATCCTTTCGTTTTCTGAATTGTTATCATACCACTTGTAAGGCATTATTTTTTAAGTTTAAAAAGATCAGACACAACTCAATGGAAAGTTAGTTTTAGATTCTTTATAGATTATTTTGCAATTTTCTAAGTGAGGATCTTACTTGAGTTCTTCCCCTCGTCTTCCAAGAAATTATTATTCTTCCAGGCGTTCGGTTCGAATTACTTATGATTTCCTCTAAAAGGTAATAATTTTGCCAATTCGGAGTATATATCACGGATAATTTTCTATTGCGCTCTCAACAACGTACCTAGACAGTAGACATGCTCTAAACGCTATACCATCACGAATTTTGTACGAACAGCCTACATACGAGCATATGCGCTCTCATGCGGCAGTGGACTCATCGTGTTCTGTGGATCAAAATAAAACTTTTTTTCTTTTGAAAAGTTTTTTTTTCATAGATGCCACCAGTAGGAGCCTCGTAGAAGCTACGGTGTACGGCCTTCCAAATTTTCGGGAAAATCGTCGTTTTTTCTGAAAGTCAACGGTTTTTAATCAAAACTTTAAAGAAATGGTTTTTCCTCATAATTTGTAGCATTGAATTCATTTATCGCCTCAGAAGTATAAAAATTCAAACGGATGGGGGGTTTCAGGGGTTTTGGACCTTTCAGAGAAAAAAAACATTTGTTCTCTAAATTCTTAGCCATCGATCGGGTGTGAAACAGTACAAGGAAATGGTTAATTAGCCTTTTTTCTTCGGGGCTTGGTTTTCGAAAGAATCAAGCGTGAATGCACGAACGTATGCTGCAGTTTTGGCGTGGCGTGCTATGTGATATATCAATTGATCTGCCTTTTAAACCTGTGGAAAAACATCGATGAACAGGGCGTTACCAACGAATACCCTAATAATCGATTCTTTACAATAGCTTTGAATGGGGAGATATCGATAATCTATCATTCACGTCTCACCACTGTTATCCAGGAAGAGGCCGGCTACTCGCAGTAAGATCAGGGAGCAAGTCTCGACGATTTTGGACTTTTTAAATGTTGCCATTGCTATCGTTGCAAAAAGTTTTTTTAGAGAACAATTATTTAACCTTACATTCTCCACGCGTGTAGCAACCCTGAATCGTCTTTTTCTATTTTTGAAGTATGACACATCATCTTATTATTTACTGTTAAAACATTAAAATATGTATACCCATTATTAACACTGAAAAAAAATCTTAATTTAAAATGCACTAAGTTTGCATTGGCAACGTTTTGAAACTTCAAAACAGGTTTTTCTTGAAGCGTCATTTTCCTGCCAATGGCTGTTGCCTAGCCTCTAAAACTTTGACTGAAATCTGTGTATTTTTTTTTACCCAGGTTGCCTTGCCGGGAATCGAATCCGGAACCTCCTAGTCTTAGAGCCAGTGCTACAGCCGCTGAGTACACCACAGGAGGCTGACAATTGTCTTTTGGCGGACTTGGCAATCAACAACTTTAGTTCAGAGAAAGTAAGAAATGTAGCATCGTATGCATGTGTAAGGCTCAGGGGATTCAGTAAAAAAACTGACAAAATTATATTTTCCAAAATAGACTGCAGCTGCAAATAATTTAAATTTGGTTTCAAGTTCGAAAGGTGAAAAAAAAACATCATACCGATACCTTTATCTTCAGAATTTCGGCGCATTTTTGGTAGAATAAAGGGTGGAATGGAGGCTTAGTAGAGGAAGGAGACACAATAAATTCAAAAGAGAGAGAGAGAAAAAAACCAGCATTTTCCCTTAAAAAAGTTTATTATTTCAACTTCAATCTTTTGCAATTTAATGCATCAAAATTGTGAAGTTGTTCGGCAGTTGAATGCGGTCCGGGGTAAAATGCACCTTGGATTTCACTTTAATAGTATAAACACAATAGCAGAATTAGCTTAATTCGACACGCAGAGAGATTTTTGTGAGGACAATTATTTGTTTTCCGCTTATTTTTGAGCATCAACCATCCATATTTTATTCTGTAACTCATGCAGCCGATCCATTCTCAGTGCTGGACATTTCGGAGTTTCCTCCACGATTGAACATAACTACATTCCAATGTAGCCAAATTTTCCTTTGCAAATCGCTTTTTTTTATCATGAGAATCTCGGGCATTTTTATCTGAAAATTTCACCGATTTTTCTTCCGATCTCATAAAAAAAAAAAAAATAGACAAATTTTGAACTAAAATCGCACAGGTGCACTCCTGTAAAAAAATTGAATTCTTTGAATCAATTTTGCAACATTGGAATGGAGTTACGCTCCTTTGTCCGGAAAACGACGATTCATGGGTCGCCAAAGGGGTGGGTTGACATTTCCGCACAAAATTTTCAATTTCCACATTTCCGCACAAAAACCTGGATTGACCTGGATTGTGTGGAAATGTCAAAATCCCAGATTTTGTGCGGAAAATGCATACAGCCGCAAGAAGGCTTTTAATACGTAAGTGGCATTGGTCTACGTTTCTTCTTCGATAGTCGTTTCGGATGTTGTCGTCGTCGTCGTGGACCTTCGATTTTGTTTTTTGGGCTTTTCAGGTTTCTCATATTGTCTGTCTTCCTTCACTCTCTCCGTCGATGATTTGCTCTCGGCGGGATCCTCCGTGTGGTTGTATTTTGAGTTAGGGCTCTCGGAGAACTTCTTGGGGATCATATGCGGTATGACGAGCGGCGTGCGGTGTCTCGACTGTCGTTTCTCCGGTTGTTTACCGCGAATGTTCAGACTAGACTCCACGACTATCTCATCAAAGCCTGTGTTTATACCTACGCCTGGAACTGAAAACAATACTCTTGTTAAAAATGAGGAGCTGCAGGCTGATTATTGAAATTGATGGACAAAACTATAGACAGAGGAGACATTTGGCAAGGAAATTATCCTTTTGGTGGAAGTAGGTGGTTGCAATGGACGAATGAGATAAGTAATAGACTAACTAACGGCAACCGATGAGAGACTCTACAGTTAGTTCATATTTTTTCTCCTGAGTCTAGAAGAACCACCCGTTTCAACCATAATTAAATGGATTTCTTGACATAGTATAGCGCCTTAGGGTGCGACTTCTTTCAGTCGTTTTTCAAAAATTGACTACATCCTCTCAGTGATCAACTCTGTATAGGAAAAAATATGCTATCTAAAGTTTTAGCCCTTTAAAGCAACGTTTTTAGATAAAGTGCAATTCTATCGGTTTTTCAGAAAATAAAAATTCCATTAATTTGAATGGGGAGTGGGAGGCATGCCATGTAGCAGTCGAAATTCAGCCTAAAAATGGGACAGAGTATAAGCATACAGAGGCCTTTTGAAAATGAAAAAAAAATCTGTTTTGATACTACCGTTTTCTTTAATTATATGTCCTTTTTTTAAAGCATTGATCAATTCTTATGAATATAAAATGATGCAGAGTAAAAATACTTCATTCATTTTTTTGTTCTTTTTCATTTTACGGGTTGGGGGAGGGGAGAGGAGGGTGCTGTTATAGCGCCGACTGGCCGCAGCTACTCGCCGGTGACATATAGGTTAGAGGAGCCTCCTCATTAGGGACGGTGGAATGTACAAGGATCAAGGTTATTACGTCGCATTCCTCTTGAGTGACAGACACGACATTTATTTCTGAGTTTCAATCTTAGAAACAGACTCCCTGGTAAAAATTGGCGATAGGAGCTGCGTTTCAAAATACCATAGGAGCTCTTATAGCCGACTGAAGAAGGCGATAGAAAATCATATAGCTGGCTGTAGAAAGTGGAAAAAATCACACGGCTGGGCTATACGAAGCGATGAAAAATTATGCAGCCGGGCTACAGTTCCTATAGCCGGGCTTTACACTTTATCGCCTGGCTGTTGCTTTTTCGCCATCGGCTATAAAAGGCTATAAGAAATTGTGTAGAAATTCGTGTGCTTTGTAAATCCTTAAGTTTGTACGAAATCACCTTAATATTTACAAAAAGCACATTATATTTTCCTTTACTACATATTTTTTTCATCAATTAAAATGAGAATAATCCATACAGAGTATGCAAACATTTCAAAGTCATGAGTTGAAATACGCTGACTCCACGAGATTAAATATCTAACACAAAGCGGAGCGGCGGCGCACTGGCGCCTTCAAACCTAACAGGGATACTTCACGCATTGCGCAATGCGTGAAGTATCCCTGTTAGGTTTGAAGGCGCCAATGCGCGTTTCGCGCTGGCTGCCCGCCCGCCGCGCCACGCCGCAGCGTACCACGGCGCTTGAAGCAACTATTTCACACCAGAGGTATTGCACAGTATCATACAAAATTGCAGGCGCTCCAACATGTTAGGAATGGCAGGCATCCTTCAAAAGTACGGAGCTTTCTTCGCAAAATAAATCAAGATACTACGGCCCAAAAAGAGAGCGGTATAGTCCAAAAACTCACTAAGTCCTAGCATTCGTAATTAGTAACGTTTAGCATACACTTTATCGCCAGGCTGTTGCTTAGTCGCCATCGGCGAAAGCCTATAAAAAGCAAGGTCTGTAAAAGGCTATAAGAAATTGTGTTGCCGGCTATAGTAGCTATTGGAAATCTTACAGCCAGCTGTAGGTCTATGGTATTTTGGAACACAGATTCTACTGCCAATTTTTACCAGGGCTATTATGTACAAACGTTCGTTTTAACAGATAATAGATTGATATATAAAAAAAGGAAGAAACACATTTTTTTTAGCTTTACCTACGAAACCTAACACTTCGACAACATTACAATTAATACTCTATCAAACGTCTACCTCCAAACATAGACTACCATGAAGGTACTTGATTTTGGAGGGTGTCTGGCATAAAATGTAGTTGTGAAGAGTTTTTAAAATGTGACAATATATTATATCCAAATAGCAAGGTAAAACAAGCCTAAGGTAGATTTAATAAAATCAAACTTTACTAACCTGAAGGCGATTTCTTATTCCCTCCTTCTGTGCTTGTTTGAGGGAGAGGTGATGATTTGACGCAGATTGTGACGCACACTAAAAGCAGCAATAGAATCGTAGAGGTCATTTTAATTTCAAAAATTTACTCTGGAGCACCTGGACACACCATAAATTTTTTAAAATTAGGTATTTTATACGGATGAAAAATAATTAATGCAAAGAAGAAAGGAACAATATTTTAAGTCAGAATAGCGATCTACTTTTTGAAAATAAAAATATTCACATTACTGCTTCGAACATAACTTGCGCCCAACATCCAAATGCGATACCTTGAATAAATTGGAACTTTGATATTTTGCCTCTTTGCTATTGATCAGTGTAATTAAATCTAAAAAAATAGCCTCTCTTTTTAATTTATTGTAAGCAGTTTGTATCTTCCCTTTAATTAGAAAAAGAGCTAGATTACATCACATAATTTCCCATTTAGTTTCTTTTTCTAACCGAGCGTTCGAGTCTCTCGACTAAATTCCAGACCCACATTTTCGCAGTCCCTCTAATTTCGGACTGAATCAACTTCTACGCATATCTGTGTCCTTTTGCTTTAAAATGTCTAGTACGAGTCCTGAAATTTTGTTTTTTCTAGAAATTTTAATTACCAAAAAGATTTGATACACCATTCCACGAATGTATAGCAAAGAATCTTTATTGATACTGATCTTTTTCAGATGCTGACGTAATGATACCAATAATAATTCAGTGTCACATTTAAAGCTCAACGGGGTAAGAGGTTTCAGGAAAACGTTGTATCAGTGTTGACAGTTGGAACATGGACTTAATCAACACTGAATAAGGGGCCGCTCATAAAATACGTATCGCTAAATATTGGATTTTTCAACCTCTCAACCCCCCCCCCTTTCTAACGCTATTCTAACGTATGTCCTTGGGCCGGTCCCTTCTCTTCAATACAAAAAACCAAATGGCGTAGCTACCCCTTCTCCCCTCTTCGTTGGGTGTTATATATTTTATGAATATGGCCGCTACGCACTGATCCATTCAATTATTTATGAAATATTATTACAATATTGATGATGTCAAGACCTCATACTGTCGATAAGACCAGAAAATATCACCCATCTCTATTTACGCGATGTACCTCTGCCTGCTTGCATTGACATTGCGTCTGTCTTGAGTTCCATCATCATTCACGAGGCTTGGATTCAAATCTCACTGCAACCGTACCTACTATGTTACACTCATCCAATATTCGGTAAAAATTTGTTAAATGCCAAAAACCCGAACGAGGAATGTTTGGCATTACGTAACCGATGATGAAATAAATTTAAAGCAGCTGTGTTGTGTATATTCTCCACCATGGCAACATTAGTGCGTGCACTTCATATACACTGAAAAAACGAGATTAGGGCTGGGCCCTAGAATTGCTTCACCTCCACCGCCACAGGGGCAGGCCCTGCGGAGGTAAGGCCCAGCCCTACCTGGACAGGGTGCAGCTCTTACCAGGTAGGGCTGAACCCTGAAGTAGGTAGATTTGGGCTCTACGCGCGCCGGGCCTGCCCCTATGGCGGTGGAGGTGAAGCAATTTTACCTACCCGGTTAGGGCTGGGACCTTCGGTGCAGGTACCAGCCCTAAACTCGTTTTTTCCGTGTATGAATGCCCGTCAATGCAATTTCAACGTTACAACATAATATTGCATTAAGAGTGGGAGCTACACGATAGTAAACGGGAAAAACAACTTAGCGCTGAGCCCTAACACTTTCGGTAAAATAGTGTCAACTGCAGGCAGTAGGGCTGCACACTAAAACTGTAGGGCTCAGCATTTCTGCCTTCAGTGGGCACTGTTTTACCTAAAGCGTTAGGGCTCAACGCTAAGTTGTTTTTTCCGTACATTGCAAGACAAATGTCAGGATTAACTTTTCATAACCATGAGCTCAATGTGAAATCAACCTTTACAATCAGGATTTTGACAGCTTAGTATGACAGCTAAGCTGCCGTAAGCGCCCCATACTTAGCTGTCATAATTTGTTTTGCTCGTTTTTGAGTGGCCCGTGCATCACCGCGGAAAAAATGGATTTTCCGATACTCAGAAATGATTCAACTCTCAATCAGTCATAGCATAGAATCGGTTAATAAGTTTTAAGTTAAATCAATATTAAAAACTGTTTTTCTTAAAATTTCCTTACCGGGACCCTTTATGTGAACAGAGTCCGTCCAAAACTTTTTCTCCATTGACTAACTGCGACGAGGCATTTTTCCGAAATTCGTTTGCCTCTGACCCACTCTGCGACGAACAGTTCATCCAAAAAATTTCCGCCTGTGACCCACTGTGCGGTCCGGTCGAGAATTCCGACTTTTAGGATCACCCTCCTTTACCCCCCAAGATGAGCGGGGGGGGGGGGGATCCAGGACCATTAAAGTCGAATTCCTTGGGGTCGATTCCCTATTCTACCCCGCAGTCTCTGACTTCGTACGATCTAAAACAACCGAGAAAAAAGCCTGGTACGGGCGGTCTGAAACACCCTGTATCTAAATATTACTCCGAACGTCATGCATATTTGTAATCTTCGACCCATGACCTATGTTCACCACCCGGTCTTTGGCCGAGGTCTGACATCAGTGAAACGAAATACACTGGAAAAAAAAAAAAAAAAAAAAAAAAAAAAAAAAAAAAAAAAAAAAAAAAAAAAAAAAAAAAAANGGGGGATCCAGGACCATTAAAGTCGAATTCCTTGGGGTCGATTCCCTATTCTACCCCGCAGTCTCTGACTTCGTACGATCTAAAACAACCGAGAAAAAAGCCTGGTACGGGCGGTCTGAAACACCCTGTATCTAAATATTACTCCGAACGTCATGCATATTTGTAATCTTCGACCCATGACCTATGTTCACCACCCGGTCTTTGGCCGAGGTCTGACATCAGTGAAACGAAATACACTGGAAAAAAAAAAAAAAAAAAAAAAAAAAAAAAAAAAAACATATTGGATCTAGAGTCCAGACTCTTGAAAACATTGACAAGAAAAAATACTCTTGATTCAATCGGATTTTTGCTTGAATCAAAACGAAATCTGTTTAAATTAAGAGGCTTGGTTCTTGATTTAAGCTAGATTCTGATTGAATCAAGAGTACTTTTTCTTGTCGATGTTTTTAAGAGTCTGGACTCTAGATTCAATGTGTTTTTTTTTTCCAGTGTAGTGTAAACATTACGAAAATTAGGTACATTAACTGTAGGCGATTCGTCATATCATCATCACTTGATATAAATTCATTAGAGTAACGCGTAACACCTGAGGCGCGAAGCGCCTCGGAGAGCGGGACCGCGAAGTGCTCAGGGACATAGCCCCCTGGTTGTTTTCAAATTACTGTTTGTATTAGTGTTTTTTTGAGATGATCGTCAATGCCCGTCATGATTTAAAGTACGTCGTAACCGTAATGGTATTGGTGGTCAATAATGAATGATCTTCCATGAGAACCACGAACTTCAACGAAAAACAGTTATATCACCATTGATAACAGCAGGTCTATATCTCTTGAAAATACTGTTGCAAATGCACATCCACACCGAGAGATTCTGTGATTTGAAGAGAGACACGCTCACAGTGCGTTCATTTTACGACTAGAAAAATTCATTGAAACGTAAGAGAGAGGGAAAACCACTGGCGTCACATGGATTTCAGTTCGGGATCACTATAGATAAAATACTAGAATGATTGTCGGTCGGTCAATGTAAACAAATTGCCTGTGCAGAAAATATTAAGTGATGCGGCCAGAAGCACCCACCCCTCCACCCCTACCCACCCACCTCTCATGAGAACAACCAGGAAAACAAAACTAAGGAATAAAAGGATTACATGGCCAGAGGAGGTGTAAATTACTAAATAAAGTAATAAATAAAAATAAAGCGCACCGTACCTTCCAGAGATGAGGATGATGACGGAAAAGACGTCACACGTCGTCCAAACTTCACGAGCGACCGAATTTTATGGACCAAAAATAAACAGGGGTAAATCGCAACGAAGCTGAGACGGGATACCGATGGCCAATCTGTTTTTTAAAAAGGTCAGTCTGTTACTGGAACAGGCTCCGCTCGGATCTTGGGAGGAGCAAAAGAGCGAGAGAGAACGATGCCGCGCAGACACAGAGGGGGAGAGAAAGTTGTCAAATAAACAATGCCCCCCCCCCCCCCCCCCCGTCAGCGGCGTAGAATTTGAACTTACGAGCGTTTAGAACTCGCGTCGGATAAGTTGGCAGATGTTTACTTTTGACTGTCAAGCACAGTGGACCGATTTACGTATCTGCGCACAGCGGCGGCGTCGCCCGCGGTGAATCCGCGATCGCTATTGGACGACTGCAACGCAATCCCTCGCAAATGGAAAGTAAACACTCACCAACTTATCTAACGCAAGTTGTAAATATAGACAACGACGATCGACGCACAGTAGAGCGAGCCTTTGGCCGAGGTCGGACATGAAATTTTTGACTAACTTTTCAAAATAAATTAACCAGGGGGCTGCGTGCGCCCCATTACTTCCCCGCCGCCCAACCTCCAGGTAAGCGCTTCGCGCTTGCAGTCGGAGGCGCTTGTCAGCTGCCTTTACATGAGAGGAATGAGAACAATGATAAAAGCTAAAATTACAACTATTACGTAAGTGTGATAATTTGAAATATCAATATGTAAATTGTTTTGTCACAAACGTTTCGATATTAATCATCCTGGGTGTTTCCTTGGAAAATTCAAATCCACCAAGTGCGACAAAAAAAAAAAACAAAACAAAAAAATTGTAGGTGTAGATGTTTTCTTTCGATTAGAATACTTCCAAATACTCAAAGCGTAAGATATTCGAAAAAATGGACACAGAAACAAAAGATAATTAAAATAATCGGTCGGTGAATAGGCATCCCTGCCCGCTTCCCCCTCATCCCTCCATGCGTGCACCCCTATTCATCTCCTACCCAGGACTACCTTCTTTTACCCCTCCCCAAGTCAGAGGTTCATTAGTTTTGTGGAACGCTGCCGCTTGTCGCAAGGAAATATCTAAGATGCTCATTTAATTTTAAAAGAAATCGCCTCATTCCTGCATAATATGACAACCAAATTTCTGCCCCAATTTCGTAAATTTGGAAAAACTCCTTTCCGAATAAAAATTTCAAAAATCGGGCTTCAAGTTACACTTGCTCAAATTGCGCCGCATGAATGGATAAAAATGCCACGTTGAGGGTGTATCAGTGCGTTCGAAGCAGCACGTAGTAGAAACTATATCCTTTCGTGATTTTCCACGAAAATTCGTTTCCCATTCTGTCGATTGCCATGGAAAGTGGAAGCCAAAGTGCAACCAATTTAACTTAATCCTCTCAAGGAGTAAGTTTAGCATTAGTGAGCATTAGAAATTTCAACTTTGGATCAATATTCGCTTGGAAATGGGGGAAAGTTTGTTCGCGATTTTTTTTTTTTGGGAATACATCGTGGTGTGATCCAGAGTTCCAATCAGCGATCAAGTGGACCTATCACGTACCTCACTCCTTATAAATTTCATGATCATAGCAATGACAATGACCTTAAACCAGGACTAAATGGAATGGAAAATTCCTAAGCTTTTAGAATTTTTTAGTGAGCAAATTACCGTGAGAAAATTTTGTCACAATATATATTTTAAGTAGTGTGTATCAAAGGCAATTTGACGAGAAAACTATCGTAGAACAACTTTTAAACCCGCATGCATTTTACGAACGGAGATAAAAGCTTTTAAAGTTTTCACATCGTGTTCGACCTCTCCCGTTGACTCGTTCATCTGCGTTTAAGCGCTGGTTCAATCTATGAATCTGCGATACCTACCTACTTCGCGACTATCGGCTTCAAATTCAACTCGGCAGGTTTGCCAGCTATGACACAATCAGAGAGATCACCTGGAAATCAGCTTGTTCAATGTTGATAATATTGTATGATATATTATCTTGCAGTCATATGCTTAGTTTCAACAAGAACAATTAGTATCAGAGATCGAAAATTTCATGAAATTTGTTAAAACGTTTGGGGATGCATTCAAGAGGCCAAGAAACGCCTAGAAACCCCCCTTAGTGCCCCACTGCCCCCTTCTCGTATACGGTATCTCACATACTGCCGTATCAACTGAAAGACCATCTAAAACGCTTTCCGGACTTCCGAATGTTTAATTAATGATACCGAAAAAATTTAACCCATCTCAAATTTTGTGAAATTTATTCGAGCCGTTTGAAATTTCACTTTCCACCTCTGGTTAGTATAAAATAATACCTCGAGAAGGTATAAAAACAGTATTTAAATACCGCGTATTGTGGAAAAACAGTTCAAGAGGGAATTGGAAGTGGAAGCTTGTGCCAATCTTCTCATTACCTAGTATTTCTGCAAGGTCGCAGCACTCCTTCTACAATGGTGCTATCTTCTGGTTGCAAACTTTCAACAATCTACATTTTATTCTCATTCGAGAATTATAATACAGCCTTATTACAATACAAATGCAAAATTTGACCTTTCATAACTATGAACGGTTTCATGCGAATGCAATCCACATTCTCAGAGGTGCAAGGACGATTTTCCTGGGACCTTTTGCAGCAGCGGTGGATTTGCGATCTCACAGCATCGCTTGATTTGATCGTGGATATGTGACACGGCACATGACGCGCGCGGTGTAGGTGAGTCATAGCGCATGCTTGGGCGTGTGCGCCGCGCGCCGGCGCTATCTTCGCGTCTCATGTTTCATGCGAGATGTTCTCACTTATAGCTCTGCTCCTATTGTCCGTACATAATCACAGTTTCATCTTTCTTGCCGGGTATCTGTATTCCACCAGCTATTCCGTTTTCGTAGGGATCTTCGTGAATCCTTAGTTGGGAGCTTTCATACTCATTTTTGGAACGCAAAAAATTGTGGAGAGAGGGGGGAACTCTGGAAACACGTATGCTGAAAAATTTAATTTTCCATTTTTTCGATCCGAATTTGAATTTTTAAGTATTGCAATGAGTATAAAATTGTGAGTACCTACAATTGACACAACTCTTTGCGTGTTTTCACGTGAGTTGCACAGTCTCGCCAAGAAGTTTTCCCCCAATGAGTTCTCCCCCCCTTGGCCCTCTCCCCACAACTTTGCCACATACGCTGCCATAACGAGTCGCACGCATCGCAAATCGCGTTTTTCGTCCGCGCGGAAATTACAGGCCAAGCACAAATGTGTGCCACTGAATATCTTCAAATTTTTCCACGGATACAACCTTTTGCGTGCTCGGTTTTCCCTCTAAACGTATTATTTACAACCCCATTGTTGGCAGTAACTTTGTCACGCACAAATGTGTTCCAGCTTAGCAGATGGAAGATCACATGGTGAGCTCTTTATCCAACAATGTTAATAATCGATTCCAACATCTAAAACAAGCGCAATATCTTAAAAATATACGAAGGTCATCTAGTAAGGTAGCCTGTTAATTTTCTCGCGAGCCAATAACTCTAGGAAAAAGTAATAGCACCGTGGAATTCAGTTTACTCACAGCTTTAATTCAAACCCAAGTTTTTTTTACAGTCGGATGAAAATGCTGGAATCTTTGCAGAGACTTTAACGCAGCGCAGAGAGTCAGGCTTATCGACAAACGCGAGACGCTTGAGGTATGCAGACATTATTAGTTGAAAAATTTGATCATACTGAACCATACGAGAAATTACTAACAAGGGGAGTCTACGAAGTGACATCCTGGGATTGGGTTCATTTTGCTTGTACATGAAGAAGAGACAAATCTAAGGTTGACGTATTTTTTTTTAGCCGCCACCTCCCAACCGTTCTCGAGATATCGATTTTTAAAGTTACGATTTTTGCACGTTTCCGCGCGGAGTTCCGGCGAGTCAACTGAGCGCCGGCAAGCTGCACGAAGCCGGTTTCCTATCAGCGCTGCAGACCGGCCGTCCTTACCAACTGATTCGTGGCCGAGTGGTAGAGTATTCGCCTACCATTTCAGCGATTGCGGGTTCGAATCCCGCTTCCTGTCGTAACATTTAGGGTACGCCGCAATTCGTTTTTACAAGTTTTCTTTATTTTTATCACACACCAAGGGGTCCGCCCCCTGGCCGCTACGCAGTCCAACCCCCGAGGCGAAAAGGCCCGCTTCGCGCGGCAAGCGAAATCATCGAAATCGATCGTTGACGGTTACTGGGTAAATAATTTTAATTGAATGATAAAATGATGTTAATTTCAAATAAAAATTTCCCACCACACAATATTCTTGATTACTTTTTCCTTACTCTGAATTTGCAACCGTCAACGGTCGATTTCGATGATTTCGCTTGCCGCGCGAAGCGGGCCTTTTCGCCCTGGGGGTTGGACTGCGTAGCGGCCAGGGGGCGGACCCCTTGGTGTGTGATAAAAATGAAGAAAACTTGTAAAAACGAATTGCGGCGTATCCTAAAAGCTACGGCACGAAGCGGGATTCGAACCCGCGATCGCTAAAACGGTAGGCGACTACTCTACCACTCGGCCACGAGTCAGTTGATAAGGACGGCCGGTCTGCAGCGCTGATAGGAAACCGGCTTCGTGCAGCTTGCCGGCGCTCAGTTGACTCGCCGGAACTCCGCGCGGAAACGTGCAAAAATCGTAACTTTAAAAATCGATATCTCGAGAACGGTTGGGAGGTGGCGGCTAAAAAAAAATACGTCAACCTTAGATTTGTCTCTTCTTCATGTACAAGCAAAATGAACCCAATCCCAGGATGTCACTTCGTAGACTCCCCTTGTAAGACGGCAAAATGCAGGGATCACTTCAGAGACTTTAACGCAGCGCAAGGAAAGAGAGCGCGCCGATAAACGCGATTTACTCAACGCATGGAGCCATTATTAGTTGAAAAATATGATCATGCTGAACCACACGATTCACGCGAAAGATTACCTACTCAGAGAGAAATTTCAACACAAAATTTTGGTTATTATGGGAAGTAAAACATACTCTGGAAAAAAACACATTGGATCTCTAGATCCAATGTGTTCCAAACTCTTGAAAACATTGACAAGTAAAAATACTCTTGATTCAATCGGATTTTTGCTTGAATCAAAACGAAATCCGCTTAAATTAAGAGGCTTGGTTCGTGATTTAAGCTAGATACTGATTGAATCAAGAGTACTTTTTCTTGTCGATGTTTTTAAGAGTCTGGAGTCTAGATCTAATGTGTTTTTTTCCAATGTAAAGTAACCCTAGTCTTCGGTTGACAATTTCAAATGAAAATGTCAGCTAGTTTTCTTGAAGAATTTTGATAAAAAACCTGTAGTGAATACCAACGTCACAATCCTTGTCTAACTATGATCAGCTTCTATTCTTTCCGTACTTATGTCTTCGTTCTTTACAAACTATAAGGTGCCCCACAAAGTAATTT